TATGGAAATGCAGATATCTTTTTGATATCCTGTTTTCATTTCCTTTGGATATATCACCCAGAATGGCATTGCTGGATCATTTAATTTTTAAAAAAGATTTATTTGTGCACAAGCAGGGGTGGGCAGGGGGAGAGGGAGAAAAATCCGCAAGCAGATTCCTGGCTGAGCACTCCTGATACCAGGCTGCATCCCAGGACTCTGAGATCATGACCTGAGCTGAAATCAAGAGCCAGGCGCTCAACCAACTGAGCCACCCAGGCACCCCTATTTTTAATTTTTTTAGGAACCTCCATACTATTTTCCGTAGTGGCTGAACCAGTTCACCTTCTCACTAACAGTGCCCAAGGATTCCTTTGTCTCCACTTCCTCACCAACATTTGTTATTTCTTGTCTTTTTGATACCCATACTAACATGTGTGAGGTGATCTGTCAATGTGGCTTTAATTTGTATTTCTGTGATTAGTGATGTTGAGCATCTTTTCATATACTTGTTGGCCATTTGTATGTCTTCTTTGGAAAAATGGCTGTTGATTTCCTCTGTGCATTTTTAAATTGGATTCACCACCTATCAGTTATATGGTTTGCAAATATTTTCTTTCATTCCATAGATTGCCTCTTCATTTTGTTTATTGTTTCTTTTGCTGTGCAAAAGCTTTTTAGTTTGATGTAATCCCACTTATTTTTGCTTTTGTTGCTTGTGCTTTTGGTATCATATCCAAAAAATTATTGCCAAGGCCAATGTCAAGGAGCTTTCCCCCTTTGTTTTCTTGTAGAAGTTTTATAGTTTCAGATACTACGTTTAAGTCTTTAATCCATTTCAAGTTAATTTTTGTGAGTGGTATAAGGTAGGAGTGCAATTTCATTTTTCTGCATGTGTTTATCCAGTTTTCCTAACACCGTTTATTGAAGAGACTTTTTCCCCCCATTGAACACTCTTGGCTCCCTTGTCAGATATCAGTTTGGCTGTATCTGGGCACAGAGTTATTTCTGAGCTCTTTATTCATTCCATTGGTCTGCGTGTCTATTTTTATGCCAGTACTGTAATGTTTTGATTACTATAGCAGCTTTGTAGTATAGTTTGAGATCAGGAAGTGTGATGCTTTGTTTTCTATCTCAGGATTGCTTTGGCTAATGTGGGATCTTTTATGGTTCCATGCAAATTTTAGGATTGTTCTGTTTCTGTAAAAAAGTGTCATTCGAATCTTGATAGGGATTGCATTAAATCTATAGATGGCTTTGGGTAGTATGGACATTTTAACAAATTAATTTTTCCTATCCATGAACATAGACAGGATATCTTTCCATTTGTGTCTTCTTCAATTTCTGTCATTGAAATCTTGTAGTTTTCGGTGTACTGATCTTCCAGTTCCTTGGTTAAATTTGTTCCTACATATTTTATTGTTTTTGATGTTATTGTAAATAGGATTGTTTTATTTCTTTTTCAGATATTTTGTTGTTAGTGTATAGAAATGTAACTGGTTTCTGTATGTTGATTTTGTAAACTGCAACTTTACTGAATGTGTTGATTATTTTTTGGTTGAGTCTTTAGGATAGTCTCCTTATAAGATCATATGATCTGCAAATAAGACAGATTTACTATTTCCTTTCCAGTTTGGATGTCTTTTATTTTTTATTTTTTTTATCTTGCCTGATTTGTTATAGCTGGATTTCCAATACTGTGTTTAATAATAGTGGTGAGAATCGGCACCCTTGTGTTGTTCCTGGTCTTAGAGAAAAAGCTTTCAACCTTTCACTCTTTGAGTATCATGTTAGCTGTAGGTTTGTTGTATATGGCCTTTATATATTGAGGTATGTTCCTTCTATACCCAAGTTGTTGAAGACTTTTATTATAAAAGCTTATTGTATTTTGTCAGATGCTTTTTCTACATCTGTTGAGATGATCATATGATTTTTATCTTTCATCCTATTCATATGCTATATCACATTTATTGATTTGCATATGTTCAACCATCCTTGCATTCCAGGGATAAATTCCACTTAATCATGGTGTATGATCTTTTTAATGTGCCATTGAATTCCTTTTGTTAATATTTTGTTGAGGATTTTTGCATCTATATTCATCAGAGATATTGATGTGTAGTTTTCTTTTTTCATAGTGTCCTTATCTGGCTTTCATATTAGAGTATGCTGCCCTTGTCAAATGAGTTTGGGAGTGTTCCCTCTTCTTTAGTTTTTTAGAAGAGTTTGAGAAGGATTGGCATAAATTCCTTAAATATTTGGTAGAATTCACCAGTAAAACCATCTGGTCCTGGGCTTTTCTTTGTTGGGAAATTTTTGATTACTGATTCATTTTCTTTACTCATTATTGCTCTATTCATATTTTCTATTTCTCATGATTTTGATATGTTGTATGTTTCTAGGAATTTATCCATTTTCTTAATTTAACATGTCAGTGGGTGACTTTAGCTACATGGTAGAAAAAGAGGATGCATTTTCACCAACTGCGAATTCTGAGAGTATCTGCCAAATGATTTGAAAGAATAATCCCTATTGTTTTTGATGCTCCAGCTGCTGTATTGACAATTATACTTTGTTACTATTGTAATTGTGTATATATGTATATGTTTCAGTGAAAAATGATTATAGAAAATTTAGAAAAGAGAACAAATAAAAATCATATGTAATACCATCTTACCTAATCATTGTTGTTTTATTTCCTTTAAATTTTTCTCAAAAAGCTTTTTAGAACATAGTTAATAACCATATATTTTATATTTTTAATCATTAGTATTTTCCATTTTACTAAATTGTCTTCTTTTTTAAACTGCATAGCATTCCACTGAATATGCTTTTATGGGCCTAATATTTTCTATTGTTAAATATATAGGACTTCCCTCCAGCTTCTTAGTATTATAGTAATGTATTCATAGCTTCATGCACATAGAATTTTTTATATTATATTTATCTTCTTAGATTATCATGTTTTTATTGCTTTTGCTACATAATGTCATTGTTTTTCCAGAAGTAGTACTAATTGACAAGATCTCTAGCAATGCCTGAAGGACCAGTTATGCCACATCCTTCAATATTACTTTTTAAATAATTTTACTAGTTTAATTTCAACAGCCTCGTATTTATTTCTTTACTTAGCAGCAGAGATTGGATTTTTCTTCATGTGTATTTACTAGTTATACTTCTTTCATGAATTGTTTATCCTTTACATACTAAAGTGAAGTCTTTACTGTTAAATTCTTGGGGAATTAACTCTAACTTTTTAAAAGTTCCACACATGTATTTATATTGGAAAATTGAAACCAGCTATATGCAAACAAGGGAAAAATAAAAATTGCTCATATTGCTACCACATAGAAATATCTTCTTCTGGTATTTTAAGACTATCCTTCTGACCTTTTTGTTAATGTTCATTCATTTTTTTTTTTAAAGATTTTATTTATTTATTCATGAGAGACAGAGGGAGAGAGAGGGAGAGAGAGAGAGAGAGAAGCAGAGGGAGAAGCAGGCTCCCAAGGAGCAGGGAGCCCGATGTGGGACTCGATCCCAGGACCCTGGGATCATGACCTGAGCCGAAGGCAGACGCTTAACCATCTGAGCCACCCAGGCGCCCTCATTCAGTTTCTTTAAATAATCAAATACATCATCACACTTTTAACTTACCTTTTTTTTCATTTAATATTCTAATGCCTTTATATGAAAAATGTAATACTTTTTTTTCCTGGTAATTCATGCTCTTTCTTGAAAATGTGAAAAATATAGAAAACTGTAAAGAAGAAAACTTCCCCATCATTCTGCCACCCAGGGATGATGGCTATCAGTATGTTGCAGTTCTTTTCCACTTTTCCTCAAAATTGCTTATCGTGCTATATATATTTAGGATGTTTTCATATCATTATATTATTATACCTGTAAAATTTTCTTTTTTATGATCATCCCATAGTCCCATAATTTGTTTTAAAATTGTCATGGTGTTAGCTATTTGTTTCCAATTTTCAGTATTTTTAATGTTTTCAGTAAACATCTTTTTACAAAAATTTTTGTTCTTGGGAATTGTTCATTTTTTATTTATTTATTTTTTAAGTAGGCTCCACAACCAGCATGGAGCCCAGTGCAGGGCTTGAACTCACGACCCTGAGATCAAGACCTGGGCTGAAATGCTGAAATCGAGTCAGACACTTAACTGGCTGAGCCTCCCAGGCGCCCCAACTGATTATTTATTTATTTATTTATTTTTTGAGAGAGAGAGTGCACATGAGCAGGGAGGGGTGGGGGCGGGCAGAGGGAGATGGGGGAGAATCTTAAGCAGGCTCCATACCCTGCACAGAGCCATCTAGGGGCTCCATCTCACAACCCTGAGGTCATGACCTGAGCCAAAATCAAGAGTCAGACACTTAACCAACTGAGCCACCCAGGCACCCCCTGATTGTTTATTTTTAATTGTCTTCTGTGGGTGTTAAATATTTGAAGTTTTTCAGGATCTTTTGCCAAATTGCTTTCCAGAAAGGTAATATACACAGTTTTTACCTTCACCTGTTTTAAAGATTTATTTATTTATTTTAGAGAGAGAGTGTGTGCACACGAGCAGGGGGGAGGGGCAGAGAAAGAGGGAGAGAAGCCTTAAGCAGACTCCCCACTGAGCACAGAGGCTGACCCTGGGGCTTAATCCCAGGACCCTGATTTCATGAGGAGCCGAAAACAACAGCCGGACTCTTAACCGACTGAGCTACCCAGGCACCCCTACCTTCACTTTTGTGTACACCTTGTCACTCCTCGCCAACAGTGACCGTTATCTTACTTTCAAATACTTGCTAATTTGGTAGTTGGAAAATGGCATCTCATTGTTTTGATACATTTCTTAAATATAAATTCATTAATAATAATAGGATTTCATAAAAACATATTTTAATGAAAGGTAGTAGGCTTTTCCTAGTGGGTGGTTGTAATGGTTATAACTGTGTGTGTGTGCAAAAACAAGCACTGGATTCCTGGGCCTAAGATACGATTATTATTTTTTTTTCTAATAGGTCTTGGTATCTCGATGGACAAACACTGCTAATAATCATTTGTGTTGGCATTGTGTTCCCTCTTGCACTTCTTCCTAAAATAGGTAAGTCTTTAGAGAGAGGACAGTTTTTGTTTGGAAGGAAGGAAGGAGACAATATTAAGGGGCTTTTAAATTTCACAGTACCACATTTTTAGCAGAAGGGTGGTAGCAGTGAAAATTTTGAACTTGGACTTATTTTAGGTTGTTCAGCCTTCAGCCTTGCCTAGTTAGCCTATTACTTGGTTTGCAGTAGTATTTTGTCTGCTCCACTAAAATAAAATCTTTACAGTGGAACATTAAAGAGCAGCTTTTCCTTCCAGTGTACCATTAGTGGTAAGCCAGTTCCACTTCTGCTGTACGGAGCTGCATAAATGATCTGTGACAGATAGTTGGAATGTTGTTATTCTCAGCCCTAAGCCCCAGATACCAAGCACTGTAATGGAAAACATGCCCAAGATGTATAGCTTTAGCTGTATGTTAGGATCACTTTCCTTATAAATTGCTTTTTATTTTACTGTTATTTTACAGGCTTTCTTGGCTACACAAGTAGTTTATCATTTTTCTTTATGGTGTTCTTTGCTCTTGTGGTAAGTTTAAAATATAGCATATTGCTTATCTCCTTACTGAAAATGAACTTACTGTGTTAATGTGTTCTTTTTTTCTTTTAACTCTGTTTTCTGTCAGAATTTTATTTCATTGTGTTATTAAAAGCACTTTTATTCCACAACATTGTTTCCTTTATTGTATCTATTTTGAAGAGGCGTAGCTAGAGCATCCTCCCAAATCCTGTATCTCTTTTGGTTAACTAGAAGGGAGAGCACCCTGATTCTGTTAAAACCTTAGATGAAGTTTAATTCTTTGTGTAGGTGTGTGTATCAGTTTATTTCTGTATAATACTGGGTGTGTATGTGATTCAACTCTTCCTTGTTGTTGAAAAATGAGTGAAAGAAAATGCTACCCAAAGGAGCAACACAACACACCAGTAGTTAAACCATATTATAGAGCCAGATTTTCAAGCTGTCACAACAATCTGGGATGCATTTAATTCGGGTTGAACTCTCTTATGGGATGCATAGATAAAGCAACTTTAGATTATATAAATGAAGTGGAAGTCACCCTGGTTTTAGTGTACAGAAATACTTTAATGGATGCTCTTAAAACTAAAATACTTAACAGTGTTTACATTTAATCATTTGTTTAACTTCTCACCATTAAAAATCATTGCCCTCCCCACCTCAAATTATCTGACTTCTGTCTTAGAAGTAAATGAATTAAACATATGCTTTTTCCCCCTTCAATTAATTTAGATATGATTGACATACAGCACTATATAAGCTTAAGGTGTACAGCATAAAGACTTGACTTACATATGTAGCAAAATGATTACCATAAGAAGTTTAGGTAACATCCATGAACATACACATTTTAGGCTCCACATGGAAAAAGGAGACAACAGTTATTCTCGCCGTAAATGGATTTTTTTTTTGCAGTGGTACTTTATTTTTTGAGTATAGTTGACACAGTGTTACATGAGCTGCAGGTGTACAACAAAGGGATTTGGTAAGTTTGTACGTGACGCTTGGCTCACCGTAACGGTAGCTGGCATTTGTCACCATACAATGCTATTTCAGTATCGCTGACTATATTCTTTATGCTGGACCTTTTATGTCTATGACTTACTCATTCTGTAACCTGTTTCTCCCAGACCCCTTTATCCATTTTGCCCAACCCCTTCCCTCCTCCCTTCTGGCCACCATCAGTTTGTTGTTTTTATAGGTTTGATTCTGCTTTTTGTTTTTTATTCATCTGTTTTTTTAGATTCCACATATGAGTGAAATCATATGGTATTTGTCTTTTTCAGTCTGACTTATTTCACTTAACAAAATACCCTCTAGGTCTGTCTATATTGTTGCAAATGGCACTATGTCATCCTTTCTTGTGGCTGTGTGATATTCCATTGTGTACACACACACACACACACACACACACACACACACACACATACACACATACATCCATCTTCCTTATCCATTTGTCTGTTGATGGGTATTCAGGTTACTCCCATTTCTTGGCTATTGTAAATAGTGCTTTAATAAACATAAAGGTGCATATATCTTTTTGAATTAGTGTTTTTGTTTTCTTTGGCTAAGTACCCTGTAGTGGAATATTGAATCATATGGTATTTCTATTTTAAATATTTTGGGGTACCTCCATACTGTTTTCTACAGTGACTGTACCAATTTACATTCCTTTCAGCAGTGCCTGAGGGTTCTTTTTTTCTACATCCTCACCAGCACCTGTTACTTCTTGTCTTTCTGATTTTAGTCATTCTGATAGGTGTAAGGTAATATCTCATTGTGGTTTTGATTTGCATTCCCTGATAATTAGTGATGCTGAACATCTTTTCATGTGTCCGTTGGCCATCTGTATGTCCTCTTTGGAAAAATGTCTATTCAAGTCCTCTGCCCATTTTTTAATTGGATTTTTTTTTGACGTTGAGTTGTGTATGTTCTTTATGTATTTTGGATATCCCCTATATCTTCTCCTATTCAGTAGGTTTCCTTTTTGTTTTGCTGGTAGTTTCCTTCACTGTGCAAAAGCTTTTTATTTTAATGTAGTCCAAATAGTTTATTTTTGCTTTCATTTCCCTTGCCTCAGGAGACATGTCTAGAAAAACATTGCTGCCATGGCTGATGTCAGAGAAATTACTGCCTGTGTTCTTTTCTAGGAATTTTATGGTTTTAGGTCTCACATTTAATCCTAATTAAGGGTCTTTAATCCATTTTGAATTTATTTTTCTATATGGTGTTAGAAAGTAGTCCAGTTTCATAAACTGTTGAGAAGCATCTGTATGGCTAGGAATGACCTTTGTATGCAAATGAACATACAGATGTGAAAGAGAATCAGTCTAGATAACACTGAATTTTTTCCTCACAGATGATTGGCAATCCAAGCATTGCATAGGTAAGAATAATTTGGTTTTTATAGCCAGTAGTTTGAAGCATGTGAAATATATTGATACGATGTCTTTTGTAGTTTTCATAATATTCATTTCTGTCATGGCAGATACTCTTAAATTTGATGCAAATTTCTTACTCTAGCAGTCATATGGAAATAATGCCCTTATTCTGTACTTATTGTAATGCTTTACAAACCATCTGCTCAGATTTTTACCTGTGACCACAGTTTAAATTTGATCTACGATGGGACAATGAAGACTTTTTTTAAAATGTTCCTTTTAATTGTGACTTTTATTTTAGACTTTCTAAATAATTAGGTTTTGAAATACATAATGGTTAGGGAAAGGAAACATGTATATATCAACCCAGACTTTTTGGAACAGTATCAATGGCTCCATTTACTATTTTTGTCAATATGTATTTATAAATCTATATAATATCTATATTACATTTAAAAAAATTCTTAATATAAAATCTTTTTAAAAATCAGTCCAGAAATCTATTACTTTCTTAAATTACACTCCAAATAATGTAAATCGAAACTTACAGTCTTTTTTTTTTTTAAATTCTGATCAAAGCTGACTTTAATTTTTTACCCTCACACTTAAAAGGTTATCTGGTGGCTACCAGTTTCCCAATCCTAGCATTGGTTACTAGCTTACAAGTCTTAAGGTAAATTCTTCTCATTTACCTAATGTTCAATTTCTACTAGTTTTAATATACACTGGTGTAAATACCATACTGACTGCTTTGTATGGAATTCGGTATTCTACAGATCCCATGGAGTCATGGGATAGAATCAGAAGTTTTATGTTTCAGAATCACATGTTTTGTGTGACCCTCAGTGGTACTGTGGAGATCAAGGCAATTTTGCTTAGGTTAAGCAGAATTTATTTTCATTTGTAAGAGAACCCTCTTACAATGGGTTTATTCAATTCTTCTAAAAATGGTGGCATTCTTTTGAACTATTCTTTCAAAAGCAGCAATTACTTAAGTGGAATATTGGATTAAACCTAAAAACGTGGACCCTAGTTAATTAACTTCATTATTCTGCATATGATCATGATAAGGAATATGTATGTTCTTCACATTGCCAAGCAAAATCCAATTTAAAAAAGTTTGTTCTTACCAAACCCCTAAAAACAACCAGTTGGGAGTAAACCAGCAGAGCATTACATCATCCCAGTGAAGCTGTAGGTTTCGTTATATGCACCCACAAATGAGATGGCTAGCTTCTGCATTCCACTTTTACAGAATTTATTTTACACCTATTATACCAAACGGCATTTTAAACACTGGCATATAAACTCCCTAATGACGTAAAGCAAAGACAAAAGTGTTTATCTTATTAGAAACAAGACACACCATCACTTATAGCCTTCAAACATTATTGCACTTTAACTTTCATAGTTTGACAACGCATTCACAGAACAATCTGCAGACAACTCATTTTAACAGACAAAGAACACTTTTAAGCAATCATGCCTGAGCCAAATTGTTTATTAGGTAAGGATTTTACAAACATTACTTACACAGTGGAGCTGGAGAGTATCATGTCTTCTCCGTGCTGCACAGCAAGAACCGTGCATAGTCTGCTGGAACCTGGAACCCTTTCTCACGGCTGATGCGGCTGGCAGATGTCAGCCCTGGCATCGCCTGGTGCTTGTGGACCAGTTTGGCGATCCACCGGCTGTCAGGATTTCTTCTCATAGCTTTATGGAATGGATCAATGAGGATAACCTCAAAGAATTTGTACATGGAATCTGCCAACCCAGTAAGAATTCAGGACTCTCAGAGCCCCACAGTGGCATCCAGCTCACTCCTCTGCAGCCCACTGAAGGCTTCTGGCAAACCTTAGCTGGTTAGCACCGTGATGGACAGGCTGGCTCGAGGTCTCACCATTAGGAACAGCGTTTGGGGCCACTACAGTGAATCTGATATATGACATAACTTTGCGTGGCCTTAGACCCCAATCTGCATGCTTTATCGGCTGGCTTTGGGGATTTGGGGGGAGCCCTATGGAGCACACAGAGCTGTGGGTACTGCCAGCAGCACACCCTGAGAAGAAAATGCATTACATGGGACTGCTTCTTCCTCCATAGCTCCTGGGTGGACTTGTAAGTGCCCATCTTGGCTGACCTTTGAGCTGATGCCTGCCACCAGATGGAAAGCAAAACTAAGTCTCATTTATTTATTTATTTATTTATAAATATATTTATATATAATATATGTGTTATATATATTATATATAATATAGGCCTAGCTTGGAGCCCAACATGGGGCTCGAATTCACGACCCTGAAATCAAGACCTGAGCTGAGATCAAGAGTCTGAAGCTCAACCAACTGAGCCACCCAGGCACCCCAAAACTTACAGTCTTATCTGTTGCCCCAGATCCTTATTTTGCATAAAAATTTTAACATAAAATTTTGCCCCCCTCTGAAATATCTAAAATTTTTAAAATTCATTTTATTTTAACAGTGGCTCAAGAATGACAGTAACCAGATAGATTTACCTTTTTTGGTCCATTTTAGAAAACTAATGGATTGCCATTCTTTCCAAAAGTTCTGTCTTGAATGCAGATTAGTATCTTAAGTAATATTTTAGTAAGCCAGTAATCAAAATAGAAACAGTTTGGATGGTTTGTAGTCAGAATCTTTGCTTGTTCTGAGCACTGAGTGAGGCATGATCGGCGCTTCAGATAGATTTGTGGACACTGCTCATGAGGATCTGGCAATCTCGTAGGGGAGATGAGAAAAATTAATTGGAAAAAAATAGACAACAATGTAGACAGTACATAATTAAGCATTGATTTATTTGCTTCAGAATAAGAATCACAGCAGTTGGCAGGAGAGAAGGAAATTAAACTTGACCTGAGCCTTGAAAGATGGGAAGAACTTAGAACAGAGGGAAGAAAGGGCCTTTTACGCAAATGAATTACTTTTCCCTTTGTCTTTCTAACCCCTGGAGTTGTCTTCTTACCATGTTCTGTCTTCACCGGGAGCAAGGACTCCCTGTTACACTTTGCTGTTGGGTATCTTACTGTTCCCATGCTGTGCTCTATAGAACAGCATATCTCACCATCCCACTGGGCAGGCTTAGGCTTAGAATGGGTCTCTGCAGGGAAATTAGCCATAGTAACTGAACTTTATATTAATATAAAACCAAACTGCTAATGACTTTTTCATTAACTAGGAATTCATTGAAAATGAATGAAAGAATCATTATATTGTATTTTAAAGCATTGTTCTGAAATATTTTGATTTCCAAGCCAAGTAAGCATAGCTGATAAAATAAATGAGCTAGCTCACATTCCAACCTTGTCAAAGTACTTGGTACCCAAGTGCTCAGTATGTGGTTGCTGCCGCCACCACACCACTGTTAGGAAGGGGGAGATGTGCAGCCTGCATTTGGAGATGGGCCAAGAGAGAGACCAGTGACAGCCGTGCTGCTCTAGCTTCTACCCTGCCCCACCCTCATCCTTTTTTGAAAACATATCAGAAAACAGATGTGAAATCATTGCCTTTGATTTTTTTTCCTCTTGGTAAGTTGACCATTTAGTTTTATTTCATATCGAAATAAATGTCCAATGTCCAAGCAACTTGCTCAGTTTACCCATTTATTTCTTTTTCTTTTTCCTTGGTGAGGGTTTTAATTAAGAGTAATTCAGTTCACGCATTAGCTTAATTCTAAAAGTGTATGTTTTCCTTAGATTTGTCTTATCGGTATATAAAATTTTGTTTGAATTAGTTAAAATCCAAAACTAGATAAATACCAAATAGAAATAGGACTAGTATTTACTTATTGGTCTCCTGCTAAGGACAAATGCCTCCTTTATTCTCCCTTGCCCCTGTGTATGCTGGGTTCCAGCCTGGAACAAATATTTACAGAGTAATTATGTGCCCCAAAACTACTGCAACCCGGTAATGTCCACACGGCCGCAGCTGTAGGTCTAGGAGAAGGATGGCCACCATCCAGAGTAAAATCCCCAGATATTTGCGTTGATTATTTCAGGGAAATAACATCCTTCTGGATTTCTTTTAATTTTTTAAAAATTTCTTTTTACCAGCTGGAGCTTGCTAGCCATGTGCTCTTTTCTTAGCCCGCTTTATCTACATTCACTAAAACTAATGGAAGTCTGAAAAAAGTCAGCAGGACAGTACTTCTCCATCAGAACTCCTGCTTTGCATAAGTTCTCTACTTATTTCTGCCTGTGGACATCTCTCAAACTACTATTAATATTTCTCTATCTGCTACTGATGCCAGGTCCACAAATAGCCGTAATCTTATACCATTGTCACTAAAAACATCAGGTTCCCATTTTGAGTTGTACTTTTTTTTTTTTAATGCCTTGATGCTTTGGGGGTTTGGAAAGTTGACAGTTGACATGAGAATACTCTCCCTCTTTAATGGGGGAGAACCCCACCAACAGATATGCAGCATCCCCTCGCCCCTCACGATAGGTATCCATGTTAAAGGATGACCCATTCTAACTGGAAAAAGATAATATGAGCAAAGATCTTCTATTAGCTATTATTTGGTATGGTATTAGTTTAATTGAAATAATGCTGACCTGTTTGAAATCAATGTCTTATCATGAATTTTATAAGAAATAATCTTCAGTGTGGATTCTATTTATTTTTACAGGTAATGATTAAAAAATGGTCCATTCCTTGTCCTCTGCCATTAAATTATATAGAGCAATACTCCCAGGTAATAGTTTATATTTTGTTTCTTTTTATTTTAAGCTAAAAAGAAAAAAAAAATCCGACTAATGATTTTTTTTCTAATTAATGAAAAAGTAATGGCTGTATTGCAATTTGGGAACTTTGTTTTGAAATATTTTTATTTGAAAGCCTACTAATAATAAATACATCATTTTTGATGATGTATTCTGACTTTTAATGACTGTTGGTTTCTCTTTTTCCCCTCAATCCTCTTAAACAGATTTCAAATGCTACAGATGATTGTAAACCAAAGCTCTTTCATTTCTCCAAAGAGGTGTGTAAGTGATTAACAGATACTTTTGGTTGATTTTTCACATTTCAAGTTTTAAGAGATTTGTGTAAGAGGGTCTCTTAGGTCTTTGTACCTGTAACTAATTAATTTTCATGAAAGTGCTAAGTATAGGGTTGCCTACCAGAAGAATAATATTATTTAACACAGGGTGGCCCATTATGAAACAGCCACCTTTTTTTTTTTTTTTTTTTTTTTGGCATGCCTTTAAATGGAGCCTGTTTTAAATGGGCCACTGCCTAAAAGAACAGATTTACCAAATGTCTGGTCTGGCCAATAAGGTCCTCTGTGGATACAGACTTCCTGTTGCCCTCTGGACTTGTAAAGCTAAATAGCCAATTATATCAGAAACTCCTCCCCTGTGAGTAGAACTTTGGTCTGTAGCTAAACAGCTTCATCATTGGACCAGCAATTGAGTGCTGCCAATATATATTCTGGCTGACATTCCAAAGTTGAAATTTATGACGCTTGGAGTGGAGACTAGAAGACCGAGTCTCCTTGCCGTCTCTAAGAACCAGGATACTGGAAATGTCTGTTAAGAGCCCCTGAGCATTGGCAGAGGAGACAGGAACTGTGATATGGATGATGTCTACTCTACCATTCTAGAAGAGCCCACAGTCTTCCCTGTTGCCACAAGTTTCTTCATCTACATTTTTTGATTCTGTTGAAATCCAAGTCCCAGATACTAGAATCCCCTCCACTCTTGTACAACTCTATTAGTGTAGCATGTTAGTGTGCTAAGTCCTCCATGCAGAATTTTCCTTTTTATCCCCAGTTTTTCAATGAGAAATGTCTCTCTGGCTCCACAAGGGAGATTACCACATCCTTTACATGGTAAAGGCTATCTGCCTTAAAGATCTATCTAGGTAGAGTAATTGACAAGCCAGGAAATTGAGCAATATATGAAAGAGAATTTGTGAATTAAACTCTCATTCCCCTAATCCAGCCTCAGGAAATGCTACAGCTTTCCTTCACAGCTCCCTTCAGATATTTTAGGAGGTATTATATCCCAAGATAGGTCTTCAGTCATCTGGAATTTTTGTTGAAGAGCCTAAAGCTGTTAGTTAGAGGGTAATCTTTTTTTTTTTTTTTGTTAAAGAGTTTATTTATTTGACAGAGAGAGAGCACGCGAAAGAGAACACAAGCAGGGGGAGTGGGAGAGGGAGAAGCAGGCTCTCCATCGAGCAGGGAGCCCGATGCAGGGCTCGATTCCAGGACCCGGGGATCATGACCTGAGCCGAAGGCAGGTGCTTAACGACTGAGCCACCCAGGTGCCCCGAGGGTAATCTTTTTATAGTAGAAAAGAGAAAGTAAATCATCACCACCCATTTTATAAAGACAGTATTTTCACTTAGATGATGACTTTGTTCACTTTATAACTTCCTCTGGCTCTTAAGTATTCTAATAAAAAAACCCACTTATGTTTGTGTATTCCAATGGATCTTTAAGAATTTGTCAGTCGGGAATATATCATATTCATTCCCATTGAAACAGATCCGAGTTAAAGATGCTAAGATGTGATTAGTATTTTCAGTATTCCCTTAGATTCAGTTGATGGTACTCCCAACATGGTATAGAAGCCAGCCAAGAAATATTCTGGCTAGCACAGGCAGTCCAACTATCAAGTAAAACATTTATTGGTGACCATACTCATGTATCTCTTTAAAAACAAACAAAACACCCATATTTTATAAAGAGATGATTCGTGAAACATGAAATAAATTTAAGCAAATTGATTTTTTTTTTTTAAGAACTCAGTTTATTGTCAAATGGAGTAGTGGTTTCAACAGGATAGCATTTAATAACTTCATCTTTTTAAATTCTTTTCCAGAGTGTTTATGCCATACCTACCATGGCTTTTTCATTTCTCTGCCATACCTCAGTATTGCCAATATACTGTGAACTTCAAAGGTACCATAGAATCCTGAAATATTTTAAGTGTATTAAGTATTTCTTTTTACTTAGACTTTCAAATTGAATGACATTCTCCTTTATGAATCCTTCTTTCCCATCACTGGATTCTAAGTGTTAGTTTATTTATTTATTTTAAAGATTTTATTTTTAAGTAAGCTCTACACCCAGTGTGGGGCTTGAACTCACAACCCCAAAACATGCTCTTCTACTGACTGAGCCAGCCAGGTGCCCCTAAGTGTTAGTTTAAAACAAAACAACTGATATGCTGGCTTACTGAACATAATAATAATAAAAAAAAGAAAGTTAAAAAAAAAAAAACTCAGTATGGTAAAGATGTAAATTCTCCCCAAGTTGATATACAAATTTAATGTGATCCCTATTAATATTTTTAATAAATACCCTGAAGTTGAAAAAATAAATATCTACAGACATGAAAAACAAAAAAAAAAAAACAACTGAGAGTTAGTTCTGTCCAACTTCAGAATGTTTGCTGGAAGCATAATCTTTGTGTATTAATTTCAAATCAGAAATTCTAATATATAGTTATAAATAAAGTAGGTCTTGAACAATTAAGGAATCCTCTTGACTAGCTTGGGAGCTTTTTATTTCTTTAGATATAATTCAGATCATAGTTTCTACTTTTGCCATTTTTGTCTTTTAGCCCTTCAAAGAAAAGAATGCAAAATGTAACCCACACAGCAATTGCTTTAAGTTTTCTCATTTATTTTATATCTGCACTCTTTGGGTACCTCACTTTTTATGGTAAGTATATTATTTAATTACCAATGGCAAAAGAAATTATCCTATAGTTGATCTTACACCTGAATATAGACTTTGTTTCTGCCTTTCATTAGTAAGTTAATTTGTTTAGGCTGCTGGAATTCAGTGCAGTATTTTATGGACCTTAAAAAATTGATTTTCTTTTAATAAATGTGGATCGAGTTCAAGATTAATAACTTCATATGAAAATTTTCTTAAACACCTAAATAAAGCTTAGGGACATTGCTGTCTTTCCACAAGAAAAAAATGTGCAATAATGATTTTTTTTTTTAATTGAGAATTCAATATGTTATACTCTAGTTCAGTTTGGGAGGTTGGGAGAATCAATCATCTTAATTGCAAAAGAACAAGTTAAGAAAGGAAAGGGTTTACACTTGGTTATAGTTGTACACTTAGATATCAGAGATCTTTGCCTTCAGACTTAATTCACACAATTTGGCAATGTGCGTTCTATGATGCACCATGATCTTTTCCCATAAATTTTGTAAAGAATTCTTTTAAATTCTTACAATAACAGTACATTTTTTTTTTTTATTTTTGAGAAATTGCCTGCTTGGTATGTGTTTTTTTCTGTTCTGAAAAGAACCTCAAGAAAAACTAAAACTTAAAAGTCTAGAACAAAGAAAAAATTGTAGTCTCTTTAATTTGCAAACATATTTAATTTGGAAACAAAGCCATTATAACAAATTGCACTCAATTTGTCAATTCTTGATTACATTTTTCAGCTTCTGAGCGCTTTTATAACAACTCTCCAAGTAAATGACTGTTACTACTCTGGTGATATTTAGCTGTTATGACTGATTTACTTCATGGTTGATAGCTTTGTGCGCATGCTGCAGGTTTTAGATGGCCATGATTACTTCAGTGGTACTTTGCTTCTCTCCCAGAGTTTTTTCAAGTCTGACAAGTTTTTGGACAACATTTACTTGCACAGCTGCCTTTACTAAACCAGCTACCTTTCCTAATCCCAGTGGAAAGAGTATGGATTTTGAAATCCAGCAAATGTGGTACAGATAACTACTCTGCTCTATGACCTTGAACAGGATGCTCACCTTGTTATCTCTTCGTCTCCTAATCTGTGACGGGGTAATTTTGTAGAGTTGTATTGAGAAGGAAATGAGTTATGTGTAACATGCCTGTTACAGTATCTGGCACATAGCAGTCTTGTACAAAGGAGAGCTACTGCTGGTGGTTACTGTTATTATTATCATTAGCATTGTAGTTATTTTATAATTTCAGGTGTTCAGTTTTTCAGTCCTTTATTTCTCACTATCTTTAATGGAATTTAAGTTAAATATGGTAACTCTATAGTACTATGTTATGAGTGTGATCTTGGAGTTTTCAGAGTATGAGAAAATTATAATTGCCATATAGTCCTTTTCTTATTATCTCTTTGCTATTTTTACAGTAATGAAGGCCATTCATTAATCTAAATCTGCTCTTGCATTTTAATACTGATGTAGGATAAGAGTAGTATAGTACAGCTCTGTGTACACCATCAGGAAAAACATTATTTCCAACATGAGTATGGTACCCTGCTGGATACACTACAAAGAAAATTAAGGCAGATGGTTAAGCAAATTGATCATTGCTGATGAAGCAGGATTCTTGAGCTACATAAACTCTAGTTTTAGTTGTTGGGTTTGTAAATTTTTGTACAGACTTGAGCTCAATAAGACTTTTCTAGATCAGTAAGATACTGTAGCAGGTTCTCTGTTGGGATTCAGCAAAAACTTAGTATAACAGAATAGCTGTATATTTTTCTAAAGTAAAATTGTCGCCTGGCACAAATACTCTTCTATTTAGTGATCTTCGACTTTGAGAAAAAATCCAAAAAATAGACCTCTTCCTCCTCCTTATGGATAAATAGCTGTCTCGAAGAAGCCACAGACAGCCTGCCAATCTCCAGGATTGCTGAGGAATAGTTATGTAAATTACCGTGACATGTGGTACCAAATTGTAAGAAAGCTTAGATTGAAAGGAAAGTGGAGGAAGGACGGATACTAATACATTTACTGAGCTAACGTTTACTACGTAAGTGCCCAGTATTTTATATACATTGCTTAATTTAATCCTTACAACTCCACAAGGTATAGGTTCACATAGGGTGAGTGGTTCAGCCAGCCAGATACCTGCCGCTAATAACGAGCTGGGATTTGAATCCAGTTCTGACTTTTCTCCAGAGTGAGTGCTTTTGTTATCATGTTGCCTCCTCGGGAATTTTGCAATAGAACCGAGATTTCCTTCATCCCAAGTTTTTGTTAGTGAGCTTTTGGAAAAACCTGGCTCACTTAAACTCCAGGCATACCTCTATATCTTTACCCACCTACCTACCTACCTATCTGTTGTTACGTGAACACAGAGGCTAAACATTTTCATTACGGAAGTGAAGTATTTCCTACACAGGGATTGTCCTTGTTATCAGGTAAAGCTGTTAATGTTGTCTCTGACTTAATCCACTGCAAATTATTCAGAGTATCCACATTTTCTCTAATGGAGAAGTACACATCTAAGAAAAATCTCATCATAGGTGGGTGATAGATAAGAAGAATGATATAAAAGTAATTCCTTCTCCAAAGATAAAAGAGAATTCAGATATTGATTTTGCTGTTTACATTAGCTTTTGGGGGGTTGTTAATTATAATTAAGGAACATCTTTTATGGTATATTTCTATCGAGATAACAGTAGCTCTCAGTCTTATGGAAAAAAATTGTTGATTGAGCAATTATCAAAAGGGCTAGTCATAAGTTAAGGCCTTCAACTCATTTTGTAAATGAGCAGCTGAAGCCTAGAGAAGTGCTGGGACACGTCACACATGTAGTGGCATGTCTCCTGAATCCTAATCCAGTGATCTTTCTGCTACTCTATGGTAATCTGTATAAACTTCATATGGCTGATGTAATAGTATATATATAACTTGCAGAGATCACTATCAGATCCTTACTGAGATTTATAGAGATTTGTCTGAATTCAGAGAAGTGCGTTGTACTCTGTCCCTTACATATGTTAAGGCTCAGCTAAGAACACAGAATTGACTGTCTCAGATGAAGTGTTTTCATCCTGGGAAAGTAGTGGATATGTAACAGATATTTTGAATTTATAATAAATCTAGTTCTTCAGGCTTCTGGAGCTGCTTGGGATCCTTTTATCCAGTGCTCCCAAAGCTTAGTTAATATCTAAATTTTGTCAGATTACAGGGACCTATAAGTATGTACCTAGATTAATAATACTGGCTCTTTATAGATGTTAAAGCGTTATAAGGAGAGGGAGAAAAAGTGTTCCTCTCGGGAGGCAGGCCTATGCCCAAATGTTACGTCATAACCAGACCATTTTAAAAGTACAAAATTTTTTGTTTGTTTGTTTGTTTTTAAAGATTTTATTTGTTCATTTGACAGAGAGAGACACAGCGAGAGAGGGAACACAAGCAGGGGGAGTGGGAGAGGAGAAGCAGGCTTCCCGAGGAGCAGGGAGCCAGATGCGGGGCTCGATTCCAGGACGCTGGGATCATGACACAAGTCGAAGGCAGACGCTTAACGACTGAGCCACCCAGGCGCCCCTAAAAGTGCAAAATTGTTAAGCACTAAGTGTTAATAGCTCATTTTCATGATTCAGAAAGTGGAAATAAAATAGTTTGCCATATTTTTTCAAAGGCTCACAAATATCTCAGGTTTGGAAATAATACCCAGCTTTCCTGGCTCTTCTTAATCTCTTAGTCTACTAGTCTCACATCATGTAAAGTAGTTCTTTGATATGTTAGACAATTAGTTTCTCTCCCATTTCCATTATCACTGGTCTAGTTCAGTTTCTCATTACCTCTCAGTGATTATGACAGTAACCTCCTGTTATGGGTATCTTTTTCTTCCTGCTTAGTTCAGATCATAATACACGAATCTTCAAAAGTCATTGCGTCTCTGTGGCCCACTTCATAGGGTTTACCTATGAAGAGCCCTGCTCCTGGGTTGTAAATGCATTTTCTGGCCATATCACCCACTGCCGTCTTTGCTCTGTAGCACACCCTCTTTCAGCCACGGTAGCACCGCCGGGTACTCATTTTCTTAGATGCATATTCTCATTGCTACATTAGGGCTTCTGCCTGTGCCCTTCTTGCTCGGAGAGAAAATCTCTTTCCCCACACATACGTTAACTAATGCTCTCAGTAATCCACAGGTCAAAATATTATCGTCCCCATTTGCAGATGTAAGAACAGAGAGAATCAGAGAAGTTAAGGTGCTAATAAGTAGAGGAATTTGAACATTAGTCTGTGTAGTGCCAGAATTCAGGGCCCTCTACCTTGCTGCTATTCTCTAGACCATGATGACTCTTCCCAAGCCTCCCTGGATTTTCTGCTTGCTCATCCCAAAGTCACAGTTACCTTTCCCTATTCAGAATCACCGTAGCTCTTCCTTTAGCACGACTACTGCCACTTACGTGTGTATCTGTGTTTATCCACTTTCTTCTATATGGGTGTGTGCGTCTTATTGCTCCTTTTTATTTTAAGATCCTTGTTTTTTTATTTCCTCCAAAGCGTCTTTTCCAATACATATTACTCTCAAATTTAAAAAGCACCATTCCATTTTAAGTACAAACTGATCTTTGCCTGCAAGGCAGGATATGGAGTGCTCTTGAGAGCACTCACTCTTCATGCCCCTGTCTGACTGGGGGTGCAGAAGACATTTTGAAACTGGAAGAACAGTGCGGAGCAAAGCCTGGTCAGTGTGTGCACATTCTGCCCTTGACTACCACACTGGCTTGCCGAGTAAGCCATTTCCCTACCACTGCATTTTCTTAGGAAAGAGGAATCTACAGATGAAATGTTGATGAAGCAGGCAACATGCACCAAAGTGTAAGATTCTAGAAAACATTGCGGTATTGAGGAAAAGGTATTGGTTTTGGCACCAAAAAAATTGGGGTGTATAGCTCTGCGAAGCTCTTCCCCTTTTTGTGGTGTGATCTTAAGCAAGTCAGTTAATATTTCTTAGCCTAGCTACCTGTCTTAATTGTTATCAGAAGGAAACACCTGATACACTTTCAGTAATACATGTGAAAGCACCTTACAAAACAAACATAAATGTTCAAAACCTTCAGATTATGGAAAAGTTGTAAAGAGATATTTTTATATATATATATTCATTGTCATAATATTAGAGGTTCTGCCTGTGCTGGTTTCTAGTTTAACTAAAAGAAAAGATTGTAATTTTCTTTTATATATATATATATATATAAATAGTTTTTATTTTAAGATTGTAATTTTCAAGAAGTTATTTAACTAATATCTCTGTGTTTCATAGGATAAGAAAAAGGCCAGAGATGAATTTGGTCTGGGAATCCAAAATTTGTTAAGATCTATTTGTGCAAGAAAAATAATTTTGCTGTTATTGACATCTTAGTAGTTTATAATGTGGTTATTATTATTTTTTTAATTGACAGACAAAGTGGCATCAGAATTACTGCAAGGTTATAGCACATACTTGCCCCATGATGCTGTTCTCATGACTGTGAAGTTATGCATACTATTTGCTGTGCTTTTGACAGTCCCTCTAATCCACTTCCCTGTAAGTATTCTTAAAGGGCTTGTTGCTTAATGTAGCAGCTCCCTAATATGGCAACACTAATGTTTTGCAGACTAGGGTGTTTGAATCACATCTAGTCTTGTATATCTTACTCATTTGTCAAGTAATTGATCAAAGACCTCATACTTGCATATGGCCCCATGAAAGCACAGAAAGAATGATGAACCACTAAGCTAATTTGTGCTTTTTGAGATTTAGTTTAGATTTATGCTCTCCCACAGCATTGTTTCCAATTTAGAGACTATGGTTCTTCTAAATTTTTGGGTTTTTCCCCCTCTTTAATTCTGTATTCTGTTTTCAAAAAGAATGTGCATGAAGAGGCAAAAGTCAAGTCAGCAAAAATAAGCTCCTTCTGGTTTATTGTAGATTTGTTTTCACATAGACATTCTAATTTAATCCTAGTCAAAATATTTTTTTGCTCTAGAATTATAATTAAGGGGCAGATCAGATCTTCATTCTGCATTTAGTTGCCATATGTAAGAATCTTAAGAATTTCTGAGAAAATGGAAACAGAGGCTTTAGGTATGAATGGTTCTGCATGAATGTCTTGAACCCCTAAACAGTGAGCTCCCTAAGAACTGGACCTTGAAGATCTTTGGCCCACTCCTTGTGTGAACTGCTCTGCCAGGCGTGCCTTGGCAGGGGGTGGGGGGCTGGCAGCGTATGAAGTAGGAAGTGTCATGAACTAGTTTTTATATTTACATGCTATGAAACATAATATAAAATAAAATAGTAAATGATGTTTCTTTCCCATAGCATGACCTCTTTTTCTATTTTAACCTTTTGTTCTGTGTGTGAATTTAATGAAAACGATTCTCTGAGATCTCATTACACAGTGTTATTGTTGGTCATTTTGAAAAGTATGCAACCTAGAGAAATTGAGTGCGAACGTTTCTTCAAGAATTAAAGCAAAATAATTTTTATGAAGCTCACACAGAAAGGTCTAATTCTTAGTTTATGTGTCATAAACACTTTATAATAATAGTTTATGCTATATTTTAAAAATCTAATTGGTGTAGGGGACAAGAATGTCATGGTTACCGTATTGTACCTGTGTTTCCCTAAGCAAGTATTTTGGCTTTGACACTTTTTCTTTGCTTAAATCTGTTTCTTTTTCTGTTATACAGGCAAGGAAAGCTTTAATGATGATGTTTTTCTCCAACTTTCCATTCTCATGGATTCGCCATTCTTTGATCACTCTAGCAGTCAATATTATCATTGTTTTACTTGCATTATATGTTCCTGACATTAAGAATGTATTTGGTATAGTTGGTAAGTTTTCTGTTTCAAAAAATCCCATATAACAAAATGGATAAAATTGTCATCCAACCTCACATCTGAATCTGGCAATACCCTTTTTTTTTTTTTTTCCCTGCTCAAAGGTTCCAGTACATCAACGTGTTTGATTTTTATATTCCCAGGACTGTTTTATCTTAAACTTAGCAGAGAGGATTTTCTCTCATGGAAAAAGCTTGGGGTAGGTTAGCTTTTTTTTTTTTTTAAGAATTCTGTTTTAAGAAATAACTTGTCATTTTATAATTGACTATTTTATCTACATTAAGAAAGTTAATGTATTTTGAACTATAACATACTTTATTGGAGAAGGTGGAGGTTTAAAATACTCTAATTGTTCTTTATCGTTTTATTTCCACAGGCTTTTGTTTTGCTCATCTTTGGAATTTTGGTTGGGAATTTTAGTTTAGCACTAATCATTTTTAATTGGATTAATAAATGAAAGAAATATGTTCCTACTTATGAAGAATAATTTACCTCTATATGCAAAAAGGAGTAATTCTGGAAGGCATCTTGGATAAATCCTTTTTATATGGGTAAACATTTTTGTAAACATTATTAACAAAAGCAGAACAAAGTGGGAGTAGGTAGGGGAAAGTGGGTTTATAACAGTTTTAATTAAAATAAATTCAAAATGTTCTTCGATATATTAGGTCAATCTTTGTGGTTTATTTTTTAAAAATTAATAGATTTTGTTTTTTCAGGTCGATTTAATGTTTACAGAAATATTGAGAATATGCAGAGTTCTTCTATATCCCCTCACTGCCAGCACACCCATAGTTTCCCATATTATTGACATCTTGCGTGAGTGTGGTGCATTTGTTACACTTGATGAGCCAATATTGATACAGTCTTATTAACTGCAGTACATAGTTTATCTTAGAGTTCACTATTGATGCAAGCATTGGCAACCACTGATCTCTTGACTGCCTTCATAAAAACTGTGAGCCTTTCCCTGTGAGCCTTTCCTAGAATGTTATATAGTTGGAATTATATATTATCTAACCTTCGAGGCTGGCTTCTTTCACTTAACAAAATGTAGTTAAGTTTCATCCATGTATTTTCATATAGCTCATTTCTTATTATCATTGAATAATACTCCATTGTTATGGATGTGCCAGTTTATTTTTTCATTCACCTGTTGAAGGACCTCTTGGTTGCTTTCAGAGTTAAGAATAAAGCTGCTATCAACATTTGTGTGCAGGTTTTTGCGTGAATATAAGTTTCAGCTTATTTGGGTTAATACCAAAGAGCACAATTGCTGCATCATATGGTAAGATTTAGTCTTATAAGAAACTGCCAAATTGCCTTCCAAACTGGCTGTAATATATTACATTCCTGACACAGTGAATGAGAGTTCCTGTTGTTCCTTATCCTCACCCACATTTGGTGTTGTAAGTGGTTTGGATTTTTGCCATTCTAATGGGTGTATAGTTGTATCTCATTGTTGTTTCAATTTGCATTTCCCTAATGACATATGATGTTGAGCATCTTTTTATAGGCTTATTTGCCATCTGTATATTTTCTTTGGTGAGGTTCAGATCTTCCATCCATTTTTTAAATTGGATTGTTTTCTCATTGTTGAGTTTTATGCATTCTTTGTGTATTTTAGATACCAGTCCTTTATCAGATAATGTGTTTTGCAAAGACTCTCTCCAGTCTGTGGCTTGCCTTTTCATTCTCTCAACAGTGTTTATGGCAGAGCAGAAGTTTTTAATGTTATTAAATATACTGGGTCAATCTTTCATTTGTTTTTTAAGAAATCAGCGTATTGAGCTTATATACAAAATTGAATGTTAGCTGTGGGTTAATGTTGTCAACATTAATCACCAATAACAAAACTGTGGGATTATTTAATTTGGTATTTTGCCCTGCCTCTGAATCTTCTCTAAGAAACTTTTGTGATTTTCCTGTTGTTCATTATGAGATAGAGCTGTGATGATTGGCTGTGGATTTGGAAGTTCTCTGAACTTTCTCATTTGTCACTACAACATGTGACTTTCTACTTGGCAAACAGACAAATAGTGATTTATATCATATTTTCTGTGGAGGTTATAAATCATTGTTTCCTATTGATGTGGCTTATTTCTGGTTGGAAACCAGAAGCTAGATCTCTCCTCCCCATGAGTGTTCTATGTAAAGGACACCTTGTTAGCAGCCTACCAAAGCCAGGGTGTATCAGTAAAAATGTAATTCTACCCTTGTGCATACGTAAAGTAGGGAATTGCATGCAAAGTACAATTTGCATGTATGGAAATACACACTTTTGCAGGTGCCCCCTTGCTTCCCACTTAGGAAATGGGCTGAAAAATTGACAACTGAGCTTCTCTTTTGAGTTAAGATATTTCTTTGGCAACTGGGGATAAGCATAGTATAATGGAAAAAGTCCAAGTTTGGGGGTTAGAAAGACTTAGATTCAAATCTCTGTGAGTTTAGGCAAAGTACTTAACCTCTCTAAGCCTCCACTTTCACATACGTATTAAATGGAGTTAATACCAATTATACAGGGTTCTGTTGAGAGGATTAAATGACCTTGTATAAATTGGTGCAGACCAAGACAGGCTCTTTTAATAGATGAGATAGTTATCCCCTTTTTCCCATCTCTTCATCTGGACCAGTAAAATAAATTTGCTTTCAATCAGGGACGTGGAATTTCCTCATCTTCCATCTTGCACAGCTAATATGTTTAGAATCTTTCTCTAGCATTCATTCACAGGGGAAGTGGCCCCATGTGCACTCTTTGTCGTGTTTTCCCACAGTTCTGCCCCCGCTGTACTCTTCTACTGATATCTTTCTGAAAATGGGCACTTAGCCTGGTCCCAGGGGCACAGCCAGGCGTGGCTTCCCATGTGGCTTCAGGTCAGCCAGAGCCCATCAATCTGATAAGCTCATTCTTGTACTCTCTTTTTCTGTTTATGAAATTATAGATCCAAATACAAATAGGTGTTCAGCTGCTTACATAAATCTAATTCCAGTAATACCAAAATAACCCTAAATCTGCAACAGATGCAAGGATGCCCCCTGGGGCAAATGTTAAGTGTGATGACAGCTGGGCATCAGTTAATATATTTGTCACCTGCTCATGGGATAGGATCATGAGAGGTTTGGCAAAGGGACAAGTAACCCGTTGAAACCCTGCACAAAACTTAGTTAATATCAAGAGAAAAATATTTGTGGAAGAGTTTTTTATTATTACTATTATTATTATTTCACTTTAATATTCTGCCTTATCTAGTTGCCTGTTTGGAGTCACAGCTTCCCCAAGAGTTTGGAGGAAGCTAATAAAATGGCAGGTAAGAGCAGTGCCGCCTTTACCAGGATTACCAAAAACCTTGTTCAAGTTCTCTGCTGCATTTTTCCTGGGAAATATGGCCCTTCCTTTATGGGCTTAATGTTCATAATTTATTAGGTAAGAACTATTTAAAGTAAAACTAAGTAAAGCACAAAATATATACTTTTCTAACACTTGGAGACTTGTTTGCTAAATTAAAAGACAAAGTGCTGAGAATATGAATTACTTTCATATGTTGAGGGTGAATGTTTAAATTGTACCTTTTTTTAACAGAATGTTTACTCGTGAGCTTAGCATTTAAATGGTTAAAACAAGCCTTTGAAGTTAACACTCCATTAAGATGAATGGGGGTAATTCACACCTCTGCTAGTGCTGTATTATTTCAGTCTGGCTGAGGAGAAAACAAGACAGGAGTAGGTTGATTTACTGTGTGAAGGGCCCTTTAAACACCCAAGGTCTGGAAATCTTTGTGTGTGTGTGTGTGTGTGTTTTTTTCCTTTCCATCTAGAAGCAGAACCTGAAATTCAGCACAAGCTAGGTATAGAGCTGCAGTCTAGAAAGTACCATTCTCTACTGTGGCAATTCCTAACTGGCTTTTGATGGGTAGCAAGTTACCAGATCAGCCCAACCTCTCTGGCTTTGTTTGCGCCTCTGTTTCTTCTACCATAACACCTTTTAAATGTAAGTTTAATACCTGGTAAATTCACCAATAGAAAAGCAGAACCATCCATTTTCAGGTAAACTTTACACATGCCTTTAAATGGGTTATGAGCTAATCACTGGCCTTCATGTGCTTCTAGAAACTTTTTTACCTTTGCAAAATCTCATGTTCTATATTTGCCTACATACAAAACATCCACCTTTAAGAACTTTTTTCTCCCCCCACCCCCGCCCGCCACCATTTGGGGGGTGATCTCTGAAGTGAACAGAGATCAGTTGGGAAAGATTCATTTCTTTCTCCATGTGACCTTTGCACCGGTACTATTTTGTATTTGAAATGTGTATTCTCCGCATTCATGGAAGTGCTATAACCATTTGACCCTGAAACTATTCATTTTGGAACCTAAGAATAAGGTTCTGTGAGCATAAATGAAATGGTGAGCATTGCATGAGATATTACTGAATTTGAAAGATCTCTTTTTAAGGTAAAGGGATTTTTCTCTTCTCCATTCTTATCCTGTGTATTTGCAGGATCAGGTTACTAGATAATCTGTGGGTAGCTGGGTGTGGAGTCTCTGGTGCTGACTTTGCCAGTATGGTATATAGAGATGGAGAATAGATGCGAGAAACAAAAGGACTCAAACAATTAATTTTAACGTGATTTTCTTCTTGGCATGTTGACAATACTCTGCGGCTATGTTAGAATTTAACCCTATTGAAAAAGACCTTGTTTCCTGCCGATAACTCTGCCTAGATTTTAGGGGTCATAATTTTTGGTCTTAGAACTTCTCAGAACCTTTTATAGTACTGAGAAATTTGTTGTGGTTTTTTTTATTTAAACACAATTTATTCATTTTTCTACCATTATCCTCCTATAGTCTTCTCATAATGAAGAGGGAAAAATAGGAAAACAAAATTTTGGTGAAGGATGAGTAAAGATATTGTGGATGTGGTTTCCTCGTTGAGTCAGAATTCTGTTTCTCACTCTTCCTAAACTATCTGATCTGTTTTTACTGTCCTCACGATCGGCTGTCCTAGTTTGTGAAGCTGTCAGTCAAAATGAGCAGTGAGGAGAAGCAGGAAGACTCATCTTGGCTGGTGGCCGAGAAGCCAGGTGGGAGTGAGAGGTTTTTTCCCTGTGGGACAAAGGGAAGGGGCGGGGAGGGAAATGGAGCTGCCAGGGGGAAAAAAAAGACAATTAAAAGACATGGTTATATGGAACGGGATAAGGAAAAAAGACTTGCAGGGAAATGTTTCTCTCATGTTTGAATGTATATGTGTTTTATATCGGTTAGTGGACCAATGCACAACACAGGCAAAGGGACTGGCTAATTCACTGAACAAATATTTACAGAGCACACAGTATGTACTAGGAGTTGCACGTCTTCCTAAAGTTGTGCGGTTAAATAAGACACCTGAATTTCTTGGATAAAACTTGGAATTTTCTTTCTTTTTTTTTTTAAGATTTTATTTATGTATTTGACAGAGAGAGACACAGCAAGAGAGGGAACACAAACTGGGGGAGTGGGAGAGGGAGAAGCAGGCTCCCCGCCGAGCAGGGAGCCCGATACGGGACTCGATCCCAGGACCCTGGGATCATGACCTGAGCCGAAGGCAGACGCCCAACGACTGAGCCACCCAGGCGCTTCAAAACTTGGAATTTTCTGATTGAACCTTTTCAGATGGACTTAATAAGTGAAACTGCTTAACTCAGAGGAAAAAAAATCTATATTTTCATACATTTACATAAAGATAGACTTTTTTTTACCATTCTCGAGTCAATACTGGCCTGTGTTCAAATCCCAGCTCTACCTCTCTTTGTCTAGTTTTGGACAAGTCTCTTTGATTCTGTGAATTCTTTGAAGACCTTCGTGTTTAAAGACTTAAGTTTTCTCTCAACCAGGGGAAATACACTTTGTTTCCTCAAGTTAGATTACATGATATTTGGGGAAAGCTTGAGTGCGCTTGAACTGAGCAATGTGTTGAATATATGTGGTTTTACTTATTCCTCAAATCACATATCTCTTCTCCTCTGCTTCAGCCACCTACTCAATAGTCCGATCAGAAAGTAGTATTCTAGAAAT